ACTCAGTAGTCTTTCTGCGGTTTGCAAGTAGACAAGAGAGGAAAAAGCAAGGTAGTGACCAGAACTGATGTCCTTGGGATTTAGGAAAACTGGGGTTGGACCCTGATCTGAAGCAGCTGCGTGCCCTGGGCAAGTAACTTAACACGGGCCTCGTCTTCCTCTGCAAATAGCACCTGCGCCCCAGGATGAGGCTCAAATTAGATAATGTAGGTGAAGCACTTTGTAAAACGATAAAGCTCTATGTGTGACCTCCAGTTATTATAATCATTATGATTACGCCACCACAGGAGGCCCCCTCTTCTCCAAGAAACTCTGGCTAGGTCCGTATTTCAAAGATGGAATATCGGAAGGGGCAGGTGAGGAAGGTATTTCCCAAGGTTTGGGAAGTAAGCTGGGACGGGAAGGTCAGAGGTGACAGGTCAGAAGATGTAGGTTCAGGGCTGCCCAGATCACCCACATGTTCCTCCGGGTCGAGCAGAATAACCAAATTCCCAGAAATGCTGATACGAGACCACGGCGCTTGCGCAGAGCTCTAAAGCCTCTCCAGCCAAGTCGGGAGGCCCTGGCGCTTGTCTCTATGATCAGCGATGTCAGTTCTCAGCTGAGCCCAGGGGAAGCTGGACTCGGGCTGGAGCTGCGGCTGCGCGGGACTGGCCACCCAGTTCTGGACGCTTTGTAGAATGTAGATCCTACTTCAGTGACCGAGCACTCGTACCTGGACTACAGGCATATGTTATTTCCCGCTAGGGACCCTAGAGGCCATCTACTTCAGCCCCCTAATTTAAAAAAAAAATTCAAGTTTTATTTTTTCAATGGACAAAAATCTATTTTATTTCCTTCCCCCTCCCCTTTGGAATAAAAGAAAAGAAAAATAAATATGCAAAGCAAATTGCTGCACTAATTGCCCATGTCCCCAAAATGATTCATTCTGCATCTTGAATCCCTTATATTTCTTTCAAGTGAGCAGCATGCTTTATCATTGGTCCTCTGTAGGTTAGTCTTTGTCAACTCCCTCATTTTAAAGATGAGGAAACTGGGGCCGAAGTAAAGTGAAATGGGCTTGCTCAGGTCGCAGGAGGTGAGTCCATGCCTGAACCAGAATGCAAAATCAGGTGCTTTGATTTAGGCACAATTTTCTTTCTAACTACAGATTATCCCCAGGGGAAGTATAGATTAGGCTCATTCTTTCCTTTTTACATATAATGGTAATGGAGTTAATTGGGAAGCCCCTGATCAATTGCCTTCTTGCCCCTGGAAATTCAAGAAATGACATTAGATCAGGGGAAGTAACATAGACAATGAGGTGTTATAGTGAAATTGAAAGATAAGGTTACACTTTATGTGAAGTTCTCTGATCAAAAATTCCAGTCAGCCATTAGATAACAAAAGATATTTTTAAAAAGTAGGTCACAGACTCTAGAAATCTGTTGAGTTGAGGCAAGAGACAGCTTTGAGGACTTACATGACTTTATGAATCAAGAAGACAGATAGCCCTAGCAGTAAGGAATTGAGCTGAGGAGAGGAACAGAACGAGGAAGCCCATCTGAATGACCAACTTGGATGCTGCACCCAGGAGCAACATAAAGATACTATGAAAAGGGACATTGGCTCTACGGTGCCAAACTCGGAGTGGCCTTGGCCACATCTCCAAAACACATCCCTATTAGTGTCGTCTAAGTGTGTCTTCATCTTCCCTATAATGTGGTGTGTAGTTGTGGGAGAGTACACCCCAGGTTTAACAGAAAGGAATGTTTTGTAACTATCCTGCCATCCATGCCATCTCAGTAAATGCTTTTGCTTTCAACTAATTATATCTACTGGCTGACTATTAAAGGTAAGCATAGCAATCGGGGCTTGTGAGCTACAGTTTGGAGAGTGTGGATTCACAGAGTAGCTTGAACCTGGGAGTAGTTTTGTGTCTGGATGAATGAGAGCTGGGAGGATGACAGTTCCATAAGTGGAAATAAGGAAGTTGGGAGAGGGTAGCTTTTTTGGAGAAGATGGTGAATTTGGGACAAGTTGAGTTTTAGATCTCAATAGGACATATGATAGAGATGCAGAGCTAGTTTTTAGAAGAGAGATTATGGTTGATTATGGTTGAATATACAGATACGGGAGTCAATTTGGTGGACCCATGGGAAAGTATGAATTCACTAATGGAAAGTATATAGAGAAAAAAATTTTTTGTGTGTATGTGTGTGATGGAACTCTTTGGCAGTCTGGTGAAGCCTATGGACCTTTTCTCAGAATAACGCTTCTAAATTCATAAAAGATATAGAATTAAAAAGGAAAACAATATTGAAATAGTTATAAAAATATTTTTTAAAAGGTTCACAGACTTGTGGGACAACCACTCTTAGGAAGCAGGAGCAAGTAAAAAATTGAGCATCATGATGGAAGCCAGGGGAGAAAATATCTAGTAGGAGGGGGTGATTAACAGTGCCGATGGTATAAAAAAGTCGAGGAAGAGAAGGATTGAGAATAAGGCTATTGATTAGAGAAGGGCATTTCAGAGTTCAAAATCTTGAAGGTACAACAATCTTGGTGGATAGTGAGGTCTAACATGGTTGAAAGTGGAGATGGAGGTTGTGGGAGTTGAAGAAGTTGGTGAGCTGAAAGGCCAGTGTTTTAGGGCTTCCAACAGGAAGGTGAAGTCACCAAGGCTAAAGGAGTAGTTGAGATGGAGAACCTAACTGTGAATCAGGTACTGCCCTCACCGATAAAGGAAGAAGAGACTTGAAGATTGGTAGAATATAGAAACAAAGATATGGATGGGGTAATAATGATGAAAGGAAAGAACCACAAAGTAGAGGGTGCCGAGTGATGATGGCAAAGGGAAGGTTTGTACCTTGGACTAAGGTGTCGAAAAGCAAGGAGCGTGCACTTTTCTTAATTCTATGTGATGGATGGCTATGAGTATTGTTAATTAATTATTAACTGTTGTCTTCTCTAGAAAGCCATATTTCCGTCCATGCCAGAAAATGGGAGGAAGAGATCTTGATGGAGAGTTTCTTAACAGAACAGGGGCTCCAGAGAGTCCAGGGAAGTGGAGGGCAGAAGGAAATGGTAGGATGTAAGACTGCTCTGGACATGGATGAGAAGGGAGAGATAGCAAGAGATTGCAGTTTTTGACTTGGCACTGACAGCTTTGAATCACAAGGATTAGACGATCAGGAGGTAAGACTTTGTTGGCCAGAAGGAACAGAAAGTCTGTAGAGGCTTGTGGCCACCTTGGCCTCTAGGTTCTGATTACACTGTTGGTATGATTTACCATCTTCTAGCTGGAACCCTCTCAGCTGATTGTAGAAGGTTTCTGTCAACTAGAAAGGGGCTGAGGGGAAGGAGGCTTCCTACTGATGGCAGCTGCTCTTGTCTATCTGGACGAGGGAAGAGTGGGCTATACAGCAGCTTATGTGTGTCCTATGGACACATAGAAAAAAAGGGTGCTAGGGGATGAAGAATGATGTAGAAGAGGATGAGGGATAAAGAGGAGGAAGCAGGATGCAGGAGACAGGACTCAAGATTGGGACCTGACAGAAGGAAGGATTATTTGGAGACAGGTTTCCAGATTTATGTACTGAGACAAGGCCCCAACTTATTGTTTTTGCTTCTTTCACTGATGACATGACAGATCAGGCTGGAAAGAGTAAGACTATGTAGAGTATTTTTATTTTAAAATCAATTACAATAAGTTACAACATTTAGTAAAAAGCAGGAGGGTTTCTGGCCATAGCTAAGGAGGCAGAAGTAAGAAGCCAAGGACGCCTAGGGATGGCATCTCTCTCAGGGGAAAGGCCATGGAGGGCCCTACACTGAAGACTTTTTTCCTGCCTTCCAAAACTTCCTCACATGGGTTACCTTCTGTAGTAGGCTAAACCAGAGCACAGCCTCTTCCCTCCCTCCCTCTCCATGCCTGCAGTTTCGTGGTCTGTCCCTTTCTTTCCAGGTGAGGGAGACCAAGTCTGAGCCAGTCACTAAAGAGGTTAGGAGCCTATGTAAGCTGGACCAACACGGCCCCTCCTCAGAACCCATTTCAGCTCTCTGCAGAACTTCCCTCTCCCCTGGAGGGGCTTACAGGGCAGGGATTCCTTTTGTAGTAGGCTTTGCTCCCAGCAGCCCCTGAGAAGCCACCTCTTTGGACATTGTTCTGGAAGCTGTCGGCTCTGGGCTTCCATACCACATACAGGGAGGAACTCTCCTTTCAGGGCATATTATTAGGTAGGCACTGAACAGTGATTCACTTTTAAGCGAACTTAAATGACTAAAATAAGATATACCCAGAACCATCTGATGCTCTTTTAAATGTTAATAGTGAAAAAAATGAAATGGATAATAATGAAAGCAGCAGTAATTATGTCCGCATGTCCCCCAAGTTTGGAGGCCTGCTTTACAAAATTCCTCTTCACCTTCCCTTCAGGCTTCAACCTTAGTGAGCTCTGCCCTCCCTACGGAGCAACCTGAAGGGATGGATGATTTTAGCACCTAACTCACATATGAAGGGTTAAAACCAAAACCTATCTCCTGGCAAAAGGCTAAGTGACAGCCCAACCAGAGCTGTACCTGTAGGTCACTGAAAGCAGGAACTGCAGACTGAACCACAGGGGTAAATGAGCTAGAGCAGGCTTGCTGCATCATAGCAGTGGTCCTGAGAGTCTGCCTTTGGAGACCATTGCCCTGTGCATTTACATAGTGTGGTGGCTTGGAGGCAGGCGGCCAAAGGAGGGGATGGTTTCCTGCTAAGCTACATCCTCTGTGCAAAATCACCCAGAAACCTGTGAAGGCAGGGCATGGAGGGGGCAGCTGCACCCCAAACAAACACTGCTTTAATAATAACTCCTGAAAATTATACAAGCAGAGGCAGACATGCATAATTTACTGTGTGGTTCTCTGAGCCTTGGGCACTAGGAGTTTCTGACAGCAGTAAGATTATAACAATTTTGCTCCTCCATGCCCCAAACAATTTTGGCCAGAGAAGTAAGGTGTCTATATTCATTAGCCACTTGGGAAAAGCCCTCCCTTTTCAATTATGCCTGTTACTGATGTGGTGGAGAATTCTGGGCTTGTTTGTTAAAATAAGAAAAAATTCTCCCATCTTGTGCCACAATAGTCCAATCTCACCCATTTACCTACTAAAACCTTACTGTTCATTCACATGAGGGTCAGCCTGAAATGGAGGAGAGTTCATAGTCACTGGATGAGCTAAACTGCCTTTCCATCTTCTTCTGATCCTTGATCTTCAGGCCAATATCGACCTTTTTTTCAAAGAAGTTCACCAGTGCAGTCTCTGTAAGTATGGAAGCCAAGATCTGCTCAAAGGATATGGACCAATCAGTATCAATGGTGCTGCCATACCTGGAGGCAGGACTGCCTGCTTCACACCCCACCAGCACAGTGTCATCAGCAATGTCTTCACACTGCAGGGAGCTGGTGCTCACCATGGAATAGGAAGACATGGACATGTCGTCTTTGGTTTCATCATCTGACAACAGCTGGGAGGGAGAGCCTTGCCCTTCTCCTCGCCCTTCCTCACTTACAAGTTGGTTCTCCCGCAGTGTCTTCCCAGACTGCATGTCTCCCCCACCTTTCTGTTCTGGGTCCACAGGGGAATGCTGCTCCCCAGCTGAGCTCTGCCTGTGTTCTGATGGGAGAGACTCCTCCTCACTCGTCAAATCCTGTTCATTGCTGGCTGAGTTGCCCTCTGGCTTTCTGTGGGGCCGGCTGCAGAATTTCTTGCCAACTTCTCCAATGCGGAGAAGGAGACTGGCCACAGTAGCGATGGCATGATACAGCTCCTGTTCTACAGGGTCCTCGCTGAACATATTATAAAAGGTCTTGCACAATTCGATAAATTGTTCCTTTTTTGCAGGGGAAGATAAAAGAAGAGACCATGGGTCACAGAATGAAACAGCAGCAAGCTCAATGCTGTCACTCTGGTAAACCTTAAAGCACCAGAAAGGTGTGAGCTATCATTAGTATTAGAAATACAGAGCCTGGCCAAGTTAAGTAAGGACAGAAGACTCAGTAAAGGTTGGGTTTAGATAGACAATATGTTTTTGTCTTTTGGACTGGACCTGTTATTTAATTGGTATACGGAACTCCCAGTGAATAAATTCCTTATACCAGTGCAGATTGTTGTCTGCTCTGCAAATTAAGAGAGTTATCTGGGACCACTGAGAGGTTAAGTGACTTGTTCAGGGCTACAGGAACCTAGGTCTTCCTGCTTCTGCAGTCAGCTTTCTATCTATTATGCCACGCTATCTCTCTGTGGAAAATGCTGTTCTTAATTACAGGATGACTGCAATAATGTAAACAATATCGAAAGACTTCAGACCTCTGATCAATGCAATGACCAATTGTGACTTCAGAGGACTTATGAGGATAAGGAAGCTCTCATCAGAGATGTGGGTGGATTACAGGAGTGGAATGAGGCTCACACTGTCACCGTCAGACACGGCCAAAGTGCTGACTTCTTTTGCTCTACTTCTTTGTTACATGGGAGGTCAAATCGGGGAACTATCTATGATGGGGGCATGGGGACTGGGAAATGTGGAGTTCCTGGGAAGTGACAGTGATCTAAAAATTAAAGAGCATCAAACAAACATTTTAAAAAAAGAGGACATTGCTCTTTAAAGATACGGACACCAAAGTATGTGTGCCCTGCTACAGGCAACCAAGGCAGCCACATTGTTGGAAAAAACCCACTTAGCCGGTCCTGGCTGCCAACATCCCTCACTCTTGGGAGCTCAGCAGAGCCATCAGAGAGAGGTTAGGAGAAAAGAGATGCCTGCTGGGGTATCATTAGCACGCTGTGTGAATACTGGCATTTCAGATTCTGGATCTCTGTTACTTAAGGAGGAAACCTTAAAACCTTTCTGTAGTGTGGAGGGCTAATGCTTGTGGCTGTTTTTGTGTCTTAGGATTGATATGAGCAATAAGATTCATAATGAGTCCACATTAGGAAACATGTGATTCTTGTTGGTCTGGCCCAAGAGGGTGAAAATGAGGCCCCCCTGGCAGGCATTTCAAGCTGTCTAGCCTGCTTCTATGCCAAGACAAATTGTCTGTAATGGCTGGGCTGGAACAGGGGAATAGAATGCCAGCTTAGGAGGGTCTTAAAAGGCAGGGGAACAAAAAAAAAACATTCCCATGCCCTCAGAGAAACCTTTCACTTTCATTCCTTCATTTCCAATACCTGCTAGCCAAGAGTAATCCATACCAGGGTGTAAGTGCCATGATAAAGTCACAGGAATGCGATAACCCCTTGGGAAGACCCCAGGCAACCAGGGCCACTATTTAATTGGCACCAGAAGAGACCTAAAAGCTGTAAACAGAAGAAAGGGACAGCTCCCTCTTAGCAAAGGCAGGAAAATTTTGTTCTGGGGTGGGGGGGAGAGGGGAGGAAGGAGAAGAGTGGGCACACAGGTTATTGTACCTGAGTGTTCTACATTTAAAACTATACCATAACAAATGTACAGGGGTAAGTGAAAAGCATACCTTGGAGTAATTAGTATTAGAAAGGAATAGGCCAGAGCTGTGTCTAGAACACTTATCTGGTGGCGGGGAGGGGAGAAGACCTCAGCTTTGAAAAGATATGGGAGGAAAACCACATGGCTAGATCTGGGCATGGTGAGTTGCCAAATGCTAGGACATTTAATCTCATTTGTCATTTTCCCTAGAACTTCAGGTACTTTTTACTATAGAATGCTAGGGTTAGATGAGGCTATTTAGTCCAATCAGGCCAGCTAGTTCAAGATCCTCATTTCACCAAGCAAGGAACTGAGCCCATGAAGACCATGGTAATCTCAGACCTCCCATAAGAGACAACTATCATTCTTCTGAATCAAAAAGCATGTCTTAAGCATGTACTCTGTTTCTTCTACTTCCCCTTTGACTTTCCTACCTGGCTCATTTTGGGAAGATCCTTAATAGTTTCTTTCTTGGACTCTTTCTCACTGGCCCACATTTGAAGGTAGTACCTGTAGTCTGGGGAGTTGGCCCCTTTCTCTTCTGCAAAGAAAGGAAAAAACAGACAAGCCAGAGGTTCCATAGGATACAGAAATTACTTCTATGGTGAATTGAAGGAAATCTAAAAATGATCATGGGCTGGAAGCTAAAGTTGCTAATACCAAGCAAAGTCCATTTAACAGGGAAAGGGCTATATATATATATGTCAGGACTCAAAAAGGTCTGTAGAACTTTCCATATCTTTCAATTGTGTCTTTTTTCACTGTTATTATCAGGAGGACAATAGGGTATCAGGAAAGGGGTGAATGAGTGTGTGTGTGGGCACACGCGCGGGCAGACATGAGAAATGTACATGTCACACTGGTATTACTAGGTCATAGCTGACAATACTGTACATTACCTCTTTTATCTTTGAAGTCTCCACTTCTGCCTTCTTTTTCTTCAGGAGATGCAACTTCTAAGCAACCAGAAAGAAAAAAAAAATCACAGAATATATTTCTGCCATAAGATGCAAAATGAAAATTCTGAAATTTATTTTAGAAAATCATTTATAGAAAATTTATTTTTAGGAAAACTTATTTTTGAAAATTATTTCAAAGCTTAGTTCAGTATCCTTATTGTAGAAATGGACCCATTTTGTTAACTCTATTTCCCTTTAGCAACTATCTCCCCAACTGCACTGCAATTTATAATTTCTGCTGTACCCATAGATCGCCTTCCCATCATCTATTTTCTTTTGTCCCTATGTCCAACCTTAGAAAGAACTCCCAAAAGCTCAGGGAAAATATCACTTCTGCAAAAGGTGAAACAAAAGAAAGACATTATTACAATGCTCTTAAGAATGAAAATCATGCTGTCCTTGCTCTTCATATATGAAGGATCAAAGAGGCCATGGCATGACATGCTTTCAGGGGGAAACTGGCTTCCTATGAAACTAGTGCTCTGTTGGAAAAGCTGAAACTCAAGGAAATTTCAATCACCCATTCAACCTGCATTAATATCCGGACTGATACAGCAACACAGTATTAAAGGCTTGTTGACTGGCTGATGGTATAGCAAGAATACTGTACTCAGAGTCCAAGCACATGAGCATCCATCTCAGCTCTTCTACTTATTAGCTATGTGATCAATGGCAAGTCATTTGACTTCTTTATAAAATGTGGGTGTAGACAAGATGATCTCTAAGGTCCCTTCCAGCTTCAACCTCCTTCTATTCTATGGCCTAGCACACATGTCTGGTATTAACGTTTCAGGTTTCTGAGGCAATTTATTTCTTCGAGTCTTTGCCAGGAGCAGACTGTGGCTAGAGAAAGCTAACTTTGAGAACTGGCACTAAACTGGATAAATGCAGGCCAACCAAATATTCTACCCCTACTGACATGGCTAAGATAGTGGTACAGGAAGGTGGAGCAAGTAAAGAGCTGCTCCTCCCCCTCTACTAGTTGAATATGATATGAAAAAGACTGCTCTGGTTTGTCTAGTTTGATATACTTGGAAGTATGGCCTTTCAACCTCAATATTCATATTTAAGCAAATCATTCAAATCAGGTGTGTTTCAATGTCATGCAAGCTGCCTTATAATTTTATCAGCCAATCTGTGTGGCTGCTGGTTGCCATAAATAACAACATTAAGTATCCCTAGCACAACGGAATATAATAGGTGCTAATAAATGCTTGCTGAATTGAATTTAAGTAAAGAGTGTTTTACCATTTCCAATTATTCCACCCCATTTCCCTAAGAGACAATATCATTATGTCCATTTTGCAGATGGGAAAACGAGGGTGTTAAAGGTTTCTTTCTATTGCCTTTGGAAATAAAGTGTGTATTAGAGTCCATAGCTCCTCACTTCTGAATCCTGCTTAACCCCACTAGGTCACATTCCTTCTCTTACCATGCATCAGAAAGGCTCAAGCACCAAGAACATTACATGCTAGATAGATGTGCCATGAAAAACTCTTACATGATAAACCTACAGAAATGACTGACAACGATAATGCTTCTTTAGGGATTTGGGTTCTTAGCACAAGAAGGCAGCACTGTGCCTGGGACTGACCTGGAGTCTCACAGTGCAGGAAGAGATCCAGGTCTGAGACAAAAGGAGATACTGAAGCGTCCAGGAGGAAGGAAAAGGGATGGAAGGAAGAAGAAAAATTCAGGGAACATACAGAGACACTGAAGAATCCAAAGTTAAGAAAATAGGAATAGAAATGCCAATGAGTGTCTTATGCAAACCGCTGAAGCAGGAAAGGCAGGTTTTGCCTCAAGAGCATCTTTCTGGAGCCCTACAACATGTGGGCATGTGCCCTGGCAAGCAGCTCCTCCTGGTGGGGAGACTCTTGTTTTCACAGGAAAGTTCCTTATTTCCCAGGGAGGGGGGCAATGCAGGTAGCAGCAGTGCCCAGGCCCTGACAGGCTGCTGGGGAGCCCCTGAATTACTGATGAAAACATCTCACATGCCTCTCAGAGCCCAACTAAGGCCTCTGGGTCTGCCTTTTCCTGCTTTCCTTACCTTCCGTAGAGAGGTCTTCTGGGAAGAAGTGTGCTGCCTCCAGAGCTGACTCTGCTTCCTCTGTGGTCAGGGCTGGGCAGCAAGAGTAAGATGTGGGGTGGGGAGGAGAGAGGAAGAATGAAAGTGGTCATCTCAGCACTCCCATTCCTACGTTACTATGGTCATTTTCAGCACCATCAATTAAGAAACTGAACTGAGAAAACACATCCTGGCATACTCTTCTAGCAGCTTACAAGGAGAGAAGAGAGGAAAGGCTGAGCTCCTTCCTCCTCTTTCTCATGACAAGGAGAAGGCCACTGTGGCTAGTCTTGAAACACCTCAAAACAACAGAACCAATGAACAAAGAGGTGGCTTTCTCCCACCAGGGAAGTCCTTTACTTATCTGTGCCTCTGATCCCATCCCCTCCTTTCTCCGTTGGAAGCTTGTGCTATGCATCTTCTGATTTCCTGCTATAATCTTCAATTTTCCCTTATCCACTGCTTCCTTTCCTTGCTGACTGTATCCTTCCTCTTGGAGCCAAATGCCTAGAAGAAAAGCTGTCTATATTTGTTGTCTCCAATTCCTCATTTTCCACTTCTCAAGTGTTTCCCATATGCTGCTAACCCTGATGTTTGACTGCACTTACTCTCTCTGAGGTTGCCAATGATCGCTTAACTGCCAAACCCAGTGGCCTTTTTTTTTTTTGGTGAGGCAATGGAGTTAAGTGACTTGCCCAGAGTCACACAGCTAGGAAGTATTATGTGTGTGAGGCTATATTTGAACTCAGGCCCCCCTGACTCCAGGGCTGGTGCTTTATCCACTGTGCCACCTTTTAGCTGTCTCTACCCCTCCCCCGCAGTGGCCTTTTTACTGCCCTCATCCTTCTGGACTTTTTTGTACCTTATGACCCTGATGACCACCCTATCTCCTGAAGCCGAATTACGACTCTACCCCCTTTGCTTTCATGACACTGCTCTCCCTTGATCCTCCTGTCTGACCACACCTTCTGTCTCTTTTGCAGGATCATTCCACACCTGAAGAGTGGGTGCTTCCTGAAGTTCTGCCCTGGGTACTCCGGTCTTCCTTGTTTATACTCTCTGGGTAACCTCATCAGCTTTCAGGGGTTCAATTATTATTGCTATGCAGGTAACTCCCAAGTGTACATATCTAATCCTAGTACCTCTCCCGAGCTCCAGTCTTCAATTACTGTCTGTTCGATACCTCTACCTGGATGTCCTACTGACATCTCAAATGCAACATGTCCAGAATAGAACTCATAATCTTTCCTCTTAAATCCACCTCTCCTAGCTTCTCTATTTCTTTGGTAGATAACACCATTCTTCACTTGCCCAGGATCCCAACCCTCTCCTCCCCCACAGAGCCAATCAGCTGCCATGTCTTACTGACTCTCCCTACACAAAATCTCTTGTACCAGTCTGTCTTCTCTTCTTTACTTCCACAGCACCTTTGCGCAGGCCCTGATTACATCAAGCCTGCACTACTGCCATGGGCTCCTAATGAACCTTCTTGCCTCTAGTCTCTCCCCTCTGTCAAGGGCAGGGCTGACCACGCCACCACGCTCCCCAAGAACCTCCAGCAGCTCCTTAGTGGCTCTAGAATAAAACCCAAACTGCCTGGCTTCACATTTACAGTCCTTTACCTTCTAGGCTCTAGGATAACTTTGTAGACTTATTATTCCTCATGTACTCAATCTTCTAGACTCACAATAAATGTCTGCTGAACAATATCATTAAATTGAAGTTATCCACAATTCCATAAGGTAGGCAATGCACATATTACCACCCCAATTTTATAGTTCAAGAATCTGAGGCACAATGAGGGGAAGTGACTGGGAGTGGCATCCAGGTCGTCATCTTTTTTTCTTTTTTTGCTTTTTTTTCAGTGAGGCAATCAGGGTTAAGTGACTTGCCTGGGGGTCACACAATGTGTCAAGTGTCTGAGGCCAAATTTGAACTCAGGTCCTCCTGACTCCTAGGCCAGAGCTCTATCCATTGCACCACCTAGCTGTCCCCATCCAAGTCTTCTTACCACAAATCTAGGCTCTTTTCAGCACACTATGTTGCCTTACAATATATTATATCACAACAAGGTTGTTAAATTCACAGTGGACAGGAAGGGATTTAAGACTAATGTCATCAACACTGTAAGTGGTGACAAACAGCTGTGCAGTCCCCTCCCTTTTAAATTTATGTTTAAATAAACTGTGGAGATTGTATACATTTACTTACTCAAGAAAAACCTGAAGCTGGTCTAAGCCAGCTGAAAGAGTTTGTGGAGGCTGTAACCTTTTCTGGGCTGAGGAGTAAGCCCCCTGGCAGTACAGACTCACTCTCCAGCACGGGGACAGTCTCATCCAGATGGACTCTACAGTGTATAAGACATTCAAAGAGTAGCCCTAGCCCTAAGACAGCAAACAGCATAAAATTTCACAGAACCCCACCTAGGCTACAAGACAGCCAAAGTACTTCAGCACAAAACTCACTTCTCCCTCAAAGCTGGTCTGTCTTCATTGTCATTTCACATTTCACTACCTTAAAGACAGGGGGATGCCCTGGGCCCTTCAGGCCATGGAGACTTTCTTCCCAGGCTGGGATCTTTGTGAGGTTGCTGAATAGAGCTGAATGAATTCTTGTCTAGGAAGAAAGTTGCTTTGGGCCTCCTCTTCTTGCACCAATGTGAAACAGAGATCTGAAGGCCCTTTTCTTTTCTAAGGAATGCTCTAGACACCTTGCATTTGAGGCTCTGGAAACATTAAGTAGGGCTTCAGGCAGTGAGCTACAAGGCACTTAGAAAACACTTAGCATGGGCTGTCATAGCAGGAGCCTCCACTTGGGTAGAAGTAAGCACAGAGTTCTCCTACCTGGAGGAAGATGTAGCTTGTAAAGAACTTTAAGCTTCTCTGTTAGGTCTCCATGATACATCCCACCTATTTAGAAAAGGAAGGTAACGTTACCCAGATTGATATCATTAGGCAGAATTCAGAAAGTGTGTCTAGTGGCATGATTTTATCTCTTTATCCTGTGAATTATTCAGGAACTGACATGAGACAATATTACCTTGCTCTCTACCAGCTCCTGTGAGATTTAACTGGCTTCTATATCTAAAGCTTTGGGCTTTTTGAGAGATTAGTAACTATTTAAGTACAAGGTGGCTGCCTTATTAGCATTATTACCACATTCTCTCACCAGGCCTGCATGAAGAACCTAGTTTCTATTGCTAGTAATTATTACTAACTCACCATTCCCTTTTCTAGGCTTCATTTTCAACCGTATAATAAGAAATCTGGACAAAATAAGGGTTCTTTCCAGCTCTGTGATTTATTATGTAGTATTAACAGATTTGGGAGAGCAAATAAGTCCTGAAGACACTTACTCATCCCAGTCACAAACTCCTTGAAGTTGATGAGAGAGTCCTTGTTTTCATCCAGAAGTCTGAACATCCGTCCAGCCAGCACTGGAGTGTGAGAGCCACAGGCCCAGGGGGTCAAGCTGACAAAGAGTTCCCTGAACTGGTTCCCATCGATTCTGTACTGCTCCAGATAGGGCAAGGTCTGGTCCCTGCGAATGGCTGCCATGCGGTTATTTCCCCAGTAACAGCTCATCAGGTATTTGGCCTACAAATGCAAGGAGTGGTTTATTGAACTGAAATCTTCGTATTGCTTCTACAGCATAGATTCTTAACCTTTTTTGTATCACAGACCCCTCCAGTCTGGTGAAACCTATGAACCCACTCTTGAAACATTTTTAAATACATAAAATAAAATACATAGGATTACAAAGAAAACCAATTATGCTGAAATACAGTCATATATATTAAAAAAACCCCCAAGTTCATGGACCCCAGAACCCCTGGGGATCTAGGGACAAAAATAAATATCTAAGTTAACTGTCATCCTTGTTTACCCCTATATTGTTTTAGTATAGTCATTTTTGTCTGGCTGTAGGCAGATAGTTAAAAGAAAGCAGTGGGAATAGGGAAGTAGGAGAACAGAGCGCAGAGGAATTACTAAGGTTCACCATGTTTAGGCTCATGTATAACATGAAATGAACCGAAATAGAAAGATGTGTAGTAAATGGACAGCTGGCCCAGGGCACTTGATGACTAGCAGGAATCCTTAAAGAGAATCTCTCCTTTGGCAGGAGGCCTCTCTGCTGCTCTACTTTGGAAAAGTAGATTTGTTGAGTAAAACTAGGAAAATTCACTTTCAGAGTCAACAAGGATGAAATATGAACGCTCATTCTAGAATCCTACCTTAAACACCATGTAAAGCTCTTCTAACTCTTCCATGGAAAAGCCAATGTCACTAGATATAGCTCGGACCTTGAGGTAAAGAAGAAAATGAATTCATTGAACCTAAAGTAGGCAGAATCATTTGGTTCTACGATGGTTAAAATGAAAACCTTTTGGAAAACACAAAACATTTTCATTCCCAGATGTGGGTATAATGTAAGAGGGATGTGTTTATATATGTGTAGAAAAGACAAATGTGGATTAATACCTAAGTCGGAAATCTGAGTATATGACCATACCAAACCAAACATCTTCAATGGATTTACACATCAAAGTATGGTAAATGAAATGAAATTAGCTAGAAGTTTCTCATATTCCTCTTCAAAAGGGGGAGGTTGGGTGCCCAAAGCTAACAAAGCAGTATGTTGCCCACACTTTTAAACTGGAATTTCCTAATTCTTCCCATGTTACCTCCGAGAATAAAAAAAATGCTGAGGTAATGATATAAACTGGAGAGATGTGAATAACTGACTGCTCCTCACCACAGCATGTATACAGAATAGGTAGGAGTCTCCTTTACTGCCCTCAAGCACAAAGAAAGATAACAGCAGTATCAAAGAGTACAAGTGCTTGTCACAAATAGGAAATCCCAGGCCCACGACAGTTTCTTCACAAGGCAGAGAGACCTATACCTGCCCACCCCAACAGAATGGTAGAAACCAAACTCAAGTTTACTGCTTCATGAAGAGGCATAGTCACTTCTGGCCTTAGCCCAGCAACCAAGGTCATTTGGAAACTCCAATAATTGACCCAGCTTATTAGCCATCAGGCTGAGGATTAACCAGAGCTAAATCATCTGTGGTACTTTCAGTGCTCAGCAGCAACCTCTCCCTGGGGGGAGAGCACTCCAGGAAAATTCTAGAAAGGCAGAATTCCTAAGAGCAACATCAACAAGGGTGTGCAGATGCCCTGAGAAAGCTGCTGGGTGAAATGTGAGGTTTCACATACCACACTCCTTTTCGCTGTGTCCTCTAAGGACTGGATGACTTTTAGTCTTTGCTTAAACCGCATTTGTTCAATGTCCTCTCCTCTTAAACTGCTAAATTTCTGGAAAAAGAAACAAGTCAATTAAATACCTCCAGATAAAAGCATGTCAGCACCCATATGCCAACAACCAAGTCAGTTAATCAGGGCGTGCGTACAATTGTAAACAAAGTCAAACCTAGTGTGATTCCTGACCTCATAGGATGTCTTCAAGAGTTCAAAAATGTCGATTTCAGGAGGAGGCTCATCCCCACTGGTGAGTAACGCATGTAGGTGTGGGATAGGGGGAGAAACACTTTGCTTATTCACCACATTATCCAGGTATCTGTGATTAAGAAGAGGGAAAACATTTATCAGTTTAGAAAACAGTGAGTGAGAATAAGAAACAGGCAAAATCAAATGGAAAAAGCTCCTCTGGGGGCCTGTCTTTGGCTACTCACTTATTTTTCATACATGCTCATGAAATGCACACGTTCAAGTAGACTACTGGGAGCCCTTCACTGGGCTGGAGACATCTTCCTTCTGAGTCAGAGAGTTCCAATGCTTCATGACACGCTTAGAAATTTAAGATGCAACCAATCGTCTATAACTCTAGTTTAGCTCCCTTTGCCCTAAGAGGAAATCCCTCAGTTTGATTCCCTTGTTCAACCTTTGGGTTCAAGGAACCCTGGCTGCTTTGGACCACCTATCTCCACGCAACTTGGAAGCAAATAGCAATTCAGAAGTGAATCGCCACTTTAAGGCCATAGCAAAAGTCAAGACTTGGTTGCTGGGAGATAGTGACACACACTGCTGAATGCAGCTGGAAGAAGTCATGCAACAGGGGGCAGCTAGGTGGCGCAGTGGATAGAGCACCGGCCCTGAAGTCAGGAGTATCTGAGTTCAAATGTGATCTCAGACCAAACACTTGACACCTGCTAGCTGTGTGACCCTGGGCAAGTCACTTAACCCCAACTGCCCTTAAAAAAAAAACCCAACAAAAAACAAGAAGTCACGCAACTGTGCTGAGTCTACTACAAACTCATGTTATTTAATCTTAACTATGCCCTCCCTGCAGCAAAGCTTCTACTCCTCCCAAACTGAGTATTTACTCTACTCTCAAAAGCAGCTATCCCAAACCCTCTCTTCCCCCCTTTAAACCTCATACTTGAGACCTGGCCTCATATTTTATCAAGAAAGAAGCCATTTGCCATTAGCATCCTTTTCTTTCATCAATTCTATCCCCTTGACACAATCTTCTATTCTTTTCCTCTTGTTCTAAACTCTGATAAAGAGGAAGCCCTTTTTCTTGCCAAGATCATTACCTTTACACATACTTTTTTTTTTTTGCTTTTTTTTGGTGAGGCAATCGGGGTTAAGTGACTTGTCCAGGGTCACACAGCTAGTAAGTGTCAAGTGTCTGAGGCCGCATTTGAACTCAGGTCCTCCTGACTTCAGGGCCAGTACTCTATCCACTGTGCCACCTACCTGCCCCTTACATGTACTTTTAATCTCTTCTTTTCCTTCCTTTGCCAGCCAACTGCCCCGACAACCTTCCTTTGACCCACTCTTCAACCTTTCCCTATCTACTGGTTTCTTTTCTGTTATCTACCAACATACCCAAGTCCTTCTTAAAAAACAAACAAACAAACAAAACCCAAACTTATTTGACCCTGCCATCCTCCTAGGCTCTGTTCATTGCCAAAGAGCTGGAAAAAGCTACCAATACTTCTTGCTTCTACTTCCTTTCCTCTCACTTACTTTTTAACTCATCACAATCTGGCTTCCAACATCATTGCTCAAATGACACTGCTCTCAACAAAGTTACCAAGGATTTCTTAATTATTAAATCTAATGGAATCTTCTCAAACCTCATCCTCCTTGACCTCTTTGTGGCATTTGACACTGCTGGCTATCTTCTCCTGGAAAGTATCTCTTTCCTGGATAGTCATGATACTGCTCTCTTGGTCCTCCTCCTCCTCTCTGCTGCCAAAGTGATCTTCCAAAAGTACAGCTCTAACCAGGTCACCTGTGCCCCCTCTATAAATTCCAGGATCAAATATAAAACCCTCTCGTGGCTTTTAAAGCTCCTCATAACCTTGCTTCTTTCTACCTTTCTAGCCTTCATACGTTTTCCTCCCTTATGATTCAGGGATACGGGCCTTCCTGCTGTTTCTCACCCACAACATTCCATCCTCCTGATTCAATGCCTTTTCCTTGGCCATGCCTCATGCCTAGAATGCTCTACCTCTTCACCTCCATCATCTGGCTTCCTTCAAGCCTCAACTCAAACTCACCTTCTCCAAGAGACCATTAACAGTCCCATGCCTACCCCTCCAACTGCTAGTGTCTTCCTTCTGAGCTTCCTTCCACTTCCACTGCATATATCTCACACACACAATTTTTTTGCATGTTGTCTCTCCCCTTAGAACATGAGATTCTTGAGGGGAGGGATTGTATTTTTGCCTTTCTTCGTATCCCCACTGCATACTGCAGTGAATGATACATATTAAATGTCTGATTATTTTCAGGTTCCTTTGCTGAATGAAATTATCATTCACATCCTATCCCCAAACTGTGGCTGTAGCCCAATGATCTACCTTGGGACTTCTCTTTTCTCTCTATAAACTCTTGGTTACTTCACCAGCTCTCGTAGATTTAATACCATTTCAATATATCTATATATAGATCTATATATCTAACCCTAATCTCTCCCCTGAACCCTATTAGACACTTCTACTGGATGTCTCATAGGCATCTCAAACTCATCATGTCTAAAACATGACTTGTTATCTTTCCTCTAAATTCATCCCTTTTTCAAACTATTCCATTACTGTCAAGGCCACTACCATCCTTCTATTCACTCAGGGTAAAAACCTCATTGTCATACTCAACTCTTCACTCTCCCTTACTCCATATATCCCTCCTCACCCTGGTGCTGCTTCATTTAGGAGGTGGAGAGTCAAGCTGGAAAGTACCTAGATGAAGAAAGGTGGTGAAAAAGGGTGGCTGGTGCTCCCTTCCACCTGTCCTTTCTACTTCCTCCTGCTACCACCTAATATACCAGGTGGTCAAGGTTCTCCACAATCTGATGCTACCCTGCTTTTCTACTCTCATGTCTTATTATTTCCCCCATACATGACACGTGCCGTCTCAGCTAGATTACTCTCTGCCCCTCTCTCCCCAGCAGGCCTTACCTTTTCCTATTTTTGTACCTTTTCTCTTGCTATTCTTCATGCTTGGAATGTCCTCCATCTCCCTCTGCAACTATTAAGTCCCTGTCCATCCTTTAAACTTAAACTCTACCTTCTCCAAGAAACCTTCCTGGTTCCTCCATCAGTAATGACCTTCCCCTTTTGACCTCACATAGCATTTTATCTACACTTCTCTTCGGATGTAATGCTATGTATTTGTTATTTACATTTGGGTCTTTACCCCTCCACTACAGTGTCAGCTCCACAAAAGCAGGAACTGTGTTTTGCCTAAACCCTGCATCCTTCTTACTGCCTAGTTTGTGTTCTGCATAGCAGACACTTAATCAACATTTGCTGAATGAATGACTGAGGCCGGGCAAGCCTTCCAAGTTCCCCTAAAAGAACCTACTCTTGCCCAATAGTTTGCTTTCATAACAGCAGCCCATTTGGGCAAGTGTGGGGCCTAAGAAGCATCAGAAAACAACTTAAAGAACCATAAAATGTTACAGATGAAAGAGCTGTTAGAGATCATCTAGTCTAGCCCTCTTAATTTTGTCTTACCATCAAGCAGTTATCATAGTATTTTAGAAGGATCAGTGAACAAAACATATCAACCCATTGGCCATATCTGAACACGTGTACTCTCTGCACACCTCTAAGGAGGGTAGCGTGCTTCATAAGATTGATCGGCTAGTCAAAAGATAGGGGAACCATGAATCACCTGCCCAGAACTGTCATGGCTTCACCTTCGTCACTGCAATTCAATAGCTGCTCCATGTTGGCATCCAGGATGGCCAAGGAAACCTGCAAAATGAGCTTGATCCCCTCGTAGAAGAAACAGTCAACGATGACCACAGCGCTTTCAAAAGGCATAACGCTGAGGAAGAGAGTAAGAAACCAGGAGAGGGAGATGGTGGAAATAACCCCCAGGTCCTGCATCTTCTCTGAGAGCTGAGGCAAGAATTCCCTTGTGAGCTCTTCAAAGATGCCTTGGTCCACAAGTGCACCTGAAGGAAAGAAAAGGAAGCTTATGGTGAGCGAGGGTATCCTTCATCTTCTTTGTGAATATGGGGTAAGGATATTCTTATCCTGGGACAGATTTTTAGCCAAAATCATTTATAATTTATAATGTAACAAAAGCCCACTAATTTGGGGCCCCTTTACTACAATCTCTGATTCATAGTAACAGAAAAATTATTTCTTTCCTTGCCAATATTCTTTTCTTTCTTTGGTATAAACACTCATTTTCTCCTAAAACTCTGAAAGAAAAAAGAATACAACAATTCCATTCCTAGTGGCACCCAGGTAATGCAATGGATAGAGCACTGGACCTGGAGTCAGGAAGTTCAAATCTGGCCTCAGACACTGGCTTCGTGGCCTTGAGCAAGTCACTTCCCTTCTGTTTGCCTCAGTTTCCTCATATGTAAAATAGAAATAATAAGAATACCTACCTTCTAGGGTGGTTGTGAGGACCAAATGAGAAAACATGTATATTTCACATTTTCAGAATGTCCAATATGAGAATTCCATTTTTAGGCTAGTGGAAACTTAGACCTGAACAGTTCCTATTTCTAAAAAATGGAGTTTGTATCTAACCAGTTTCATCAATAGCTGCTAACTAAAGGTACTATGTGTATATCTGGCATTTTGTTAGATACCATGGAGGGGGATTCTATCACTACTGTCTTCTTTTGATGCCTCATTGTAATATAGTGGAAATCATGGGTTTTCAAGGGCTAGGCTAATGGACCTAAGCTTGGGCAGGGAAAGGCTTTGAGGATGGGTTTGACGACAAACTGTCAGTTATCCAAGGACCAGTTGAATTAAGTTCAGAGAGACTGGCCACAGGGTGATGAATTTTTCCACCACAGAAGCTCCTAAAGGCTAAGTCCTGGAGAAGTGTGATCTATAAAGGGCACTCCCATGTCAGTGAAATCATAGCTCTTTAAAGTACTACAATATGGATGGAGGGATTACTGTAATAAGCACCCCTGACATTTGTATGAGGTTTCTGTAGTTTTCAACATTCTTTTTCTTCTAGGATATTACCTGGCTCTTACAATAAGCCCATGAGAAAAGCAGGGCAGAGATTACTATCTCCATTTGATGGATAAAGATACTAAGGCTCAAAGAGGTGAATAATTTGTTCGTAAATAGCCAGCCAGAAAGTTTCAGAAGCAGGACTAGAATTCAGATCTTTTAACTCCTTTGGCTCGTCCTCTTCATAACATGTTATTTCTCAAAGTAAATCTCCTTTGTCCTGACAACATTTTTCCTTTTAAAATACTAGTGCTTTTCTTATTGCTCAATAACAAGACAGCCTGACTTCCAGAGTCCCAGGGACAGCTTTGAGCCAACTCACCTACCACCCTGGTGTTGTAGTAGTCAGGCAGCATCCGCTCACAGAGTGCTACCAGCAGCCAGAAAGCCTCTTCCTCGTTGCCGTACAGAAGCAGCACCGACGTCACGATGTTCATGGCCTATGAATCATCCCGCCAAGACAGATACAAAAAGGCACAGAGAACAAACAGCATTGGAAACTGGGAGCTCCTATTTCAAGCCACTGGATGTCTTAGTCCATCCTCAGCAGGGAAAGTAAGGCCCAAGACCTGGCTCAGGATGGAATACAATGAGCACTTCAAGTTTGTGGAAGTGAATGAGAAACCTCTACTCACCGTGACTAAAGACAATTTACTTTGAGAAGGAAGCCCTCATGCAGTCCAAACCAGAAATAGGTGAAAGACAATACTTTAATATGAGGGACAAGAGCAACCACTAGAATTTGTTTTTCTCTTCCTCCTCTGTCCTGGGACACACCCAATACCGTCTAAATCTTGTCAGGGGCTGCCTGCCTCTAAGGGCTTTGGCACTAACTACAGAGATGCCCTGGAGTTTTAGAGGCCACAGGGGACTTTCTAGCTCTAGCCATCTCTGCAAAAGGGCTGTCAAACTGGTGGTGTCTAACCTGGCAGTATCCAATTGTTGGGTTTCGAAAAGCATAAGCAGTTAGCACTCTCCGGAGGGCAGCGATGCCCATTGCATTCTGGAAGGCTGGATGTTCAGGCATGGAACGGTGCAGATCTCTCTCAATTTCCTCAGCGGCAAGACTCTGCTTGCCCATGGATTTCTCCACCAGCTCAGCATAGTATCCAGGGTGGGTCACCATTTCATTCCAGGCTCCTGCAGTGGGAATACATACAGCACTGTCTGACATTCTCAGAAGAGCTTTATGCCTAGGAATTCAATAAAATTCCAGGCTGGAGAGTATACAGAAAATAAAATATTGGGGGATCAATTCCAAGCAAAGGCAAAGTTCCATTTCAATCTGTAGCACCTGCTTCGTTAGGTTCCAGAATTCCAAGAGCTACTAAGACTCAAGCAATAAAGAGCAGTGGGGTATGCAAGCCCACTACATGAAACTGATATATAAGGCTACCTTCTGTCCCCCCACCCCAATGCATTCCCCACTCCAGTGGATTTACTTTGTAGCAGAAAGCAGATGTTCTGCCTTTAAGGACTCCCTGAGAAGGGAACTCCAGCTGTGTGACAGTGGTGAGATAGCAACTCACCTGAGAAGAGGAGCCAAAGTTCTCCACGGAGGCTCTCAGGGATACCCTTTAAAACTAGCTCCCGGGTCTTTGCTGTACGATACATGCACATGCCACGTCCATACTCAAAGAAGTGAATATTCCAAGATTCTTCTTTCATCTTCTCCTTTGCCTTAGAAGAAAGGGTGTTGGTTGTGGACTCCAAAGGCCTCACGTAAACATGCCAAGCCAAAGCAATATACACAGAAAACCTCTTTCAATGCTAAATAAATCATCTATGAAACACTGACCATCTCTCTCAAATTGCAAAATCCTTATAGTCAAAAAATGTTAAGTGCTTAGCAAGCTGAAAGGAGACACTGACTGCAACTCCTCATGACTTATGGTGAATAACAGTCCTAAGGCTATCTCTTTCTGAATTATTTAAGTCAAATGCTGTATTATATCAACTGAAATAAGCTGGTTTCCATTTGTTTTCCAGAGATGTTATTCACATCTTCAACCAGAGGACATGCCATTTCTGCCTGATTTGCTGTCTTTGGTTTGGAGTGGGTCCATCAGGACCCTGTAGGTTTTGGTAGAGAAATGCTAATAGCACAGGGGGGAAGGAGCCCACATACGTGCTGGTGCCCAGTGACACTATTAGCTTTTCTCCTCCTGAGAACCCAACATTCATTCAAATTCTGGATCTCTTAATCACAGCAGAGAAAGTCTTACCCCCTTGGGTCCAAGAAACTCTGTGGATGAGCTTTTTTGAAAAAGTTTGAGAAGTCCATGAGAAGCTGTTGGAGCCTCCTCTAAGAAGGAGGTCAGCTGACTGTCGAGGGTGGAGGATGGGCTGACAGGCAGATCACTGCCCTCCTGAGGAAAAGAAAGAGCAGGTTAAGAAGGTTTTCCACTTTATTTGTTAGCCTGATTGTACTGGCTAGTCAAAGACTTCATTCTCCAAGCCCCAGACGCTGACAGCGTACTCTTCACTTTTTAAATCTTCCATTTTTTATTCTGAAAGCAAACATTAAAAAAGGTATTTCTATATACGCAGAACCAAAAAAGGTTCTCTATGCAACTACTAATCTACTTCATACTGTTTTTTTAAAAAAGCATATAATAAATTCTACATATTACTCTCTTATGAACATCCTTTTCTTTGTACTTTGATATTTTTTAAAAATAAAATTTTATTTTATTTTTAGATCCTCATTTTTCCTCTCCTTTCCCCCCATTTGAGAAAGCAAGCAAAACAAAACCTCTTACAAAATGTATAGACAAGCAAAACAAATTCCTGCTTTGATCCTCCTCAAATCCTCAACCCTTACAAACGGTCTCAATTTGTAGCCTATCACCTCTCTATCAGGAGGTGAGTAGCATGTTTCATCTTGAGTCCTCTGACTTTGTGGTTGCTCATTGTGTTTATCAGAGTTCTTAAATTTTCATGGGTTGTCTATCTCTACAAAACTGTTATTGTATAACTTGTTCTCCTGGTTCTTCTCACTTCACTCTGCATCAGTTCATACAAGTCTTCCCAGGTTTCTCTGAAACCAATTGTAATAATATTTTAATAGCCCTCTTCTTGGGGATATCACTACTGTTAACATTCCATTCCCCAACTTCACCCCACCCCAATGAAAAATATAAAGGAAAAAAACAAACTTGTAACAAGTTAGGGTAGTCATGTTTATAGGGGCCGTATTTCAAAAACGTAAATCTTTTTCTGAGCCATCTCATGTGTCCTTCACCTGTCAGGAGATGGATAACATTCCACCACGTCCTCTGGAGACATAGGTTAGTCACTGCTTTGATCAGAGTTCTTCATTCTTTCAAAGTCGCTTTTCTTGACGTCATCATTTTTATATAAATTCTTCTTCTATTTCTGTTCACTTCACTTTGCATCAATTCATAATAGCCATGACATTCTGAAATTGTCTTTTATCATTTCTTATGGTACAATAGTATTCCATTCCATTCATATACTATCAATTTGTTCAGCCATTCTCCAAGTTCCTATTGTTTAACAGGCAATCTAATGTGCTCCCATAGATTCTAGTTTCTTTTCTTTTCCCCCCTTGTAATCTCCCTTTCAAGATCACAAAGTTTGTTTTGCTTTTAGCTATCTGTTCCTTGATATCATCCTACCTCCTTCTTCTCCCCTCACTTTCCTTTTAGTTTGATGTACTTCTACACCAAACTCTGTGTCTATAATGTGCGTTCAACCCTCCTTTGCCTGTTTCAGATAAAAGTGAGGATTATGTGATGCCTACTCTCTTACTCCCTCCTCCATATTTGCATATTCTTCTTAAGCACCACAACTATGAAAAATAACAAGTTCCTTCTTTCTCCTTTCTACACTAGTGTATTCTTCCTTCTACCTTCCTTTCTCTTCCCCTTCTCCAAACCCTCAGAACAGGGAACCCCCTCCTCCCCCGCCCCTGCCTTTTTTCTTATTTAACTCCCTAGTACCTTATGAAGACATCAAGGTTCTTAAAGGATACTTGTTTCTGTTCTCTTTATTAGAATACTAGCATACATTATCATACAACTCTGTCCAATTGTTCAAATACATTTACCTTTTTACTTTTCTCTGGACTTGAGTTTGTATTTCAAAGTTCTGACTCAGCTCTGGTCTTTTCATCATAAACGCTTGAAAGCCTTCTTATTTCATTAAAGATCCATTCCCCTCCAGCCCCCCCCCCCATGGGATTATGTTTAGCTTTGCAGGGTATATTATTCTTGGTTGTAAACTGCCTTTTGCAATACTGTATTCCAGGTCTCCTCTTGCTTACCATACAAGCTTCCAGGTCTTGTGTGATCCTGACTGTGGTTCTTTGCTACCTTAACTGCTTATTTCTGGATGCTTGAAATATTTGATATAGGAGCCCTGGAATTTGGCTATGATATTAATGGGACTTTTCCTATTGGGGTTCCTTTCAGGAGGTGACTGATGGATTCTATCTTCATGTTGCCATCGGAGTTCTAATGTTTCTGAGTTTTCATTTATGATTTCTTAAAATATAGTGTCCAGGAATTTTTTTATTTTGATCATGGCTTTCAGGAAGTCCAATGATTATTGAATATCTTTCCTTAACCTGTATACAGGTGTGTTGTTTTGGATATTAGCTATCTTTTATTTTTTTTAGTACTTAGTATTTAGTACTTTAGTATTTTTTAGCTACTGCATCAAGTCATTGATTTGTTTAACCTTTTTTAGCTTTCAGGAATTTCATGATTTCTTGGGCAAGGTTTTCCACTTTCTCTTCTAAACTACTTATTATCCTTCAAAGTCTTTCTTCAAGAGTTTTTAATGTCATTTTTTTTAATCTCTTGCTTCATTTCTTCTAGGTCTTCATATAGTCCTCGTGGAAAATCAATGTATTTCCTTCACTCAATATTTGCAGACGTCATATAGACTGCAATAATTTTTCTTGGATTTACTCATCTCTCCAGCTTTAAGTCCCTGATTTGGGGCTTTATTCTAGGACCAGGTTCTGCCTCCTTTTGTACTTTTTAGTGGAGTGGTCAGCCCTGCTTAGTGTTGTCCTGAGTCCCCTGGGTTTTTCTGATGACCTCCACCACCTTTTTGAGGTTCACAGTCAGATATTCAAGACCCTTTCTGACATCTCAGGCTAGCATTAAGGACTTCAGTGTCTCTGGGTCTATGCTGTCCTGCTGGTTTCTGCTCCTGCTACCCAGGGCTTCCAAAGTCCCCACCCTGGGGCATTCTCAGGGTTCTGTTCTTGCTGACTCCGATCAGAGCCTTGTAGACTACATGCATGATTAGAGCTGTACAGAAGTGGAATGGGCTGCCTTGGAATGTGGTGACTTCATCCCTAGATGACGTTTTCAAGTAGAGGCTGAATGACTAATGTCAGAGATATGATAGAGAGGATTTCTATTCAAGTACATGTTGAATAAGATGATGATATGCCTTCCAACTCTGAGATTCTATGATTCAACTCAACAGCTTACAAAGGCTTCCTGTTGGATCAAGTCTAAAAAAACTTCTGTTATCCCTTAAAAGAACCTGCTTCTAGGTTTAGGCTGGTCCCCCCTCTCTTCCCTGAACACACCAAGCAGGCTGACTCCTGCCTTTTTCCCTTTGCTCAGGCTACTTCTATTCCCTAGGATGGCCTTTTTAAATATTTAGGTAAAGGTACTTTAAATCTTTGTTTAAAATGATTTATCATGTTTTCTGTTTAGATAGTGTTTCAAAAATATGTAATGTTATGAGGTAAGAGACAAAACCTCATAAAGTAGTCATAACAAGTTTATATCTGGTCTTGCATTAGGGCCACCATTGAGAGATCTGGCCAAGAAGTACTTAACATGGAAATCTTGTCACTATGAACATACCAACACATACAGCAGCTGGTTATCCCTATCAGGAAGGGGAGACTGAAAATTCTTAGCTACATCACCGCAATTCAACCGATCAGCAGAAAGAGGAAAAGAACTTCATGTGTACAAAATATCGTGAACAAAAGAGGAATAGTAGAGTCAGAAGAGTATCTTGAACTGAGAGCAGAAAGTATATGGTGAAGATTATGGAAGATAAAGTTGGAATGAGGCCTCTTGATGGAGGGCCTTTGAATGACTTTGAATGTGACCAACAGGTGAGGAGTGGAGAACTATTTTTTTATTAAGGGCCAGCAATTTTCAGGAATAAAAATGGTGGCCACATACAGTTTAAAAAGCAACTTAATTAAGGTATGATTTTTAAGGAGAGAAAAAAGTGCAAAGTTCAACTTACCTGTTTCTTAAATTAAGAACAGTGAAAATAAGAACTTTATTCAGTAACTATGAAAAATGTCTTTTGATACATGTCAAGTTTTCCTTCCATCTCACCTCCCTTTGTACTGGGTCTGTGACTCCGGCCTTCTCTCTGCTGCCAGCACCTGGCTTCTTAGCTGATGTTTTCTGGAGGAAATCTGAGATTCTCTGGACCAAAAAATCTCGGTCCTTTAGATTGGCAAACAAGAAGGTCATTTTACTTCTGGTGCTAATAGACAGTGGGCTCGGTAACACACTGGAGCTGTCAGCTTTTTCAACCACTGTCACCTGTGAAAGAAGAGGCATGTGCTCTATGAGTCTCCCTTGAACTACAACAGAAGCCAAACACACTCAAGAACTGACTATTAAAGACATCTGTACATGATCCGGAGTTCCAGAGTCTCACCTCTTCTCAAAATGAATTGAATTTGGAAGCTGTCTCTTGCATGGAATTTCCCCTGAGACGTCCATGTTGAAGACTATGCCTCAGAGGCCACCAGTGTGTGGCCATGGCAATGCTTCCACACCTTAACATAGTAAACTAGATAGGTCCTCATGCCATGTGGCTGTTCCCCATGCCTGGAATGGTCTTCATCCTTATTTCTGTCTCTTAGAACCCCTGGCTTCCTTTAAGACTGAGTCCAAGTGCTACCTTCTATGGGAGGCCTTGCCCTATTCCCTCAGCTGCTAATTCCTTTCCCTTTAAGCTAATCTTCTATAAGTTCAGTGTTTATTTCGGATATCTCTATGCACATGTTGTCTCCCTTAAGGGCAGGAACTCTTCTTCTCTTTTCTTTTGTATTTCTAGCACTTAGCATATTTCCTGGCACATAGAAAGTGCTTAATCAAGCACTTTTATTCTTCCACTACCTTACATGAACCTCCAAATGCCATCTAGAAGTATAAAGGGGGGCAGCTAGGTGGCACAGTGGATAGAGCACAAGCCCTGGATTCAGGAGGACCTGAGCTCAAATCTGGCCTCAGACACATAACACTTACTAGCTGCGTGACCCAGGGCAAGTCACTTAACCCCACTGCCTAGCCAAAAAAAAAAAAGTATAAAGGGCAGGCATATTTAACAGCATTTGACAGATGAGATACAAAGAAGTTAAGTAATGGCCAAAGTAGTTAGTCAGAAAGAGAACTCAAGTCTTCCAACTTCTAAACAGAGGCTGACCATCTTAGCTGCCACCATAATAATGTGACTGCTGACCTTCAATATTAATACTCAGAGACTGAAACAATTCTTCACCTCTCTCAGTGGTATTATGAGATAACAAGCCTCTTCTTCTTTACTGGCAAAGCAAATATAATTGTTGGAGATGAACATCTGGCCAGGGATATGCATCTTATTGAATGGGGTCCATAAGGTACAGTCAGTGTGTCCATCCAGCCGTTCATCCTTTGGCAACCGGAAAGTTGCCCGGTAGCATTCATTTTTGGCCCTGGCATCCAGATCTCTGAATGCAGAAGACAGAAACCAAAGTACATGGGCCAAGTGTTAGCAATGATGTTACATTCAGTTTAAATACTATTACCTAGTAAGAGCTAGACTGTATCAATCTGCAGCTGGGGGCAAGATGAATTGCCATTTGCCTGACCAAGACAAACACAATTCATATATATAAGTGAGAAGACTGGAGCTTTAATCTCTTATTTGAGGTTAAAAAGTAACTTCAAAAAATTATTTTTTTAGGAGATCCATTTTTCTTGGGAGTGAAAGATAAAAGGAAGGGGGACTCCTAGACCTAATTAAGATAATTAGCACGTGTTACTTGCCTTCCTTATGGTGTTTGAATTTTGGACATTTATCCTGGCAGATCAATATGGATGGATAGTCCTGCATCCCAAAGGTTAGCTCTTTCCTGGAATTTGGAAGGCTCAAACTTTGACAAGCCCTATTACAGTCATGGAGTCTAAAACCAGAGCTCTTCAATGAGTTGTGACCCACAGGTCCATGGTTTAGATCTATATACACCATCACATTCCAAACTGCAACAGAAGCACCCATTTCCTCAGATCTGCAGCTCTGTGTGGGAAGAGGACTAGAGAGTGTGGCAAAATCTGAGCTTCTGTAGAGCTCTGCTTCAGGGATGAGTGGTCCTAATTGGTTAATTAGTAAATGCAAACTCACCTAACCCATTATAGCTTGCTGGCCTCAAACCACGCCTTACACTCCATCCAGTCAACCCCTGTAGATCTTGTCTCATTTGCCTGACACCCACACATACTGCTCCTCCTTCTCTCTACCTTTCCACTTCTTGCTCTGGAGAACATGACAATAGACTGCTTTATGGCTCTGTAGTTATCCCTGTAATTCCCCAGACTAAAGTTCCCCTCCCTGAACACCATTCCCTAATACGTGTTGTATTCCTCATTACAACATAAGGTCCCTGAAGGTAGAGACCGTCTCACTTTTGTATTTGTATCCCCAGTGCCTAGCAAAGTACATGGCACACAGCAGGTAATCAATAAATGCTTTTTCATTCATTCATCCATGCCAATATATGAAAAGCCCCAAGAACAACTACAAACTGGGTTAGGACAATGACCATGTAGGACCTCCAACTCTCCAATTGCCTTGCATTATTTCTCTGTTTCTATCAAGTGAAAAGAGACATACCTTTTTAGGGCTGAGATGTTTTTGAGAGGCCTAACAGGCTTGGGGAGGGACTTGTCCTCCAGGAAGCCCTCACTGTCCAGCAGTTGCCGCATGGCAATATTGGCCAATTGCTCCATAAGCTTGAAGGTCTCATTGATGTTGAGGAACATGGAGAAGTAGAGCTCCTTGTCCCTGGTGTTAACTTTGATGCACTCAGGGAATAGCAGGGTGGCATTCTTCTCCAACTCAGTTACATCCACCCACTGGACCACCAAGGTTACTGAGAACCACCAAACAAAGAAACACCAATTCAAACAGCTTTGAGAGACAAAGCAAAAAAATCAACAGAAGGAATAAGTGACAGTGTGATTCAAGAATGGCTCACAATACGGAGTCACTGAATGTGAACTGAAGCCCTGGGAGGGGAAGAACTCAAAATCCCTACTCTCTGGTGCATGGCTTCTTTGGGATAGATCACAACAGCTTACCTTCTTTGCCCAAAAGGAAGGAGTAGAAACAAAGGTGGTTGACAGTCAGGTACAACCATCCCTGCCTGGGCACTCGTCCTTTCCAGTAGCTGCAGGAATAGTAATTGACCAGCTTCTCCACTTCAGGCATTCCAAACTGTTTTCGCATCTTTAGTTCTGCCTCTTTGAATTTTCCTGGATCTTCATCTCCCTGAGGCTGCAGGTTCTTGTTTTCTTCAGCAATGATGCCCTGGAGTGGAGAACAGAGAATGGAGATGGGGACTCCTATGTAAAACGAATAAGGAAAAGGGCAAAAGGAACCATTTAGGTTCCTAAAAAAGGAAATTTAATTTAGAATTTATGATTAAGAAAGGTTAAGTGCAATGATCTGCCTACAGGAAGGATGCTTATTGACCAAATGAAAGAATTAGATAGAAGATGTTAGCAAAACCAAAATAACACTAATAATTCAAGCTAAAGTCAAGCAAGAGCTAATTGTCTCCCAGGTTGCTTGGAAGCTCAGAAGACATCCTTTTCATTGCTACTAATGATACTAGGATCACCCTGCTGTCTCCTCCACTGTTCCCTATCTTCCATTTTTAAGAAGGAAAGGTAGAACGGATAACCTATTAGAAAGATCTTCTCCATCTCCTGATCTTCCATCCCTTAAGGTGAGTTCCACAAAGTGCTGTCTTTGGCCCTCTTCTCTTTCTACAGCCCCTCCCTTAATGATCTTATCAATTTCCATGGCTATTAATTATGAAGATGATTCCAAAATCTTTATCACCAGCCCTGACCTGCATTCTGAGCTCCAGACCCACACGTGGGCTGTGTATAGGGCCTATCCATCTGAATGTCCCATCAGCAGCTCAAAACTGACATGTTTAAAAACAAGCTGGCAATCTTTTCTTCTGAGTTGGCTTTCCCTTGTGTCTTCACTATTTCTGACTATAGTAACACCATTCACCCTAGCTATCATGTTTTCAAAACTTTGCAGTACTATTTTTGACTCTTCCCTCCAGTCGTGATCCACTTAGTTAACAAATTCTATTGATTTCATCTCTAGTCAATTTCTCTCTTTTCTTCTCTGTTCCCACTGTCACTGATCTGGTGCTGAGCTCCATGAGGACTTCCCTGGATTATCACGATATTCTCCTTAGTTGGTCTTCTTGCCTCCACTCACTCTCTTCTTCACTCTACTCCCCTTCCTCATACAGTCTGGCTATGTCACCGCTCAAAAATCTTCTGTGTCTCTAGCATCTACCAAATAAAGCTCAAATTCCTTTGCATTAAATTCAAGGCCCTCTACAGTGTGGAAATGCCTAATCTCTTCTATTCCCTGCTGTGTACTCTATCTTCTAGCCAAATTAAACTATTCTACAACCTTTGAACAAGCTCTGTATTTACCCACCTTAGAGTCTTTGCTCATGCTGTTTCCTATGCCTGAAATGTCCTCTTCTTTTTGTCACCTTTTGAATTCCTGGCTGTTTTTTTTTTCCTCCAGGCAATGGGGTTAAGTGATTTGCCCAGGGTCACATAGCTAGTAAGTGTCAAGTGTCTGAGGCTGGATTTGAACTCAGGTCCTCCTGACTCCAGGGCCAGTGCTCTCCCCACTATGCCACCTAGCTTCCCCCCTTGGCTATTCTTTAAAGCCTAAATCAAATGCCACATTCTGCCAGGAAACCTTCCCTGAGTGGTCAGCAATGAAAATATCCCCCTGGCTGTCACAAGGCATTTCCGTACCTCTCTAATATGCTAATGCTCTATTTTGTATTATAATTGTCTACGTATGTCATATCTTCCACCAAGCTTAAGTTCCATGACAACAGGGGCTATCTTATATTTAAACTCTGAATCTCCCTGTAGCACCCTGAAGAGTTTTCTGTAGACAGGAAGAGCTTAAATGTTTATTGATTTTGTGGGTGAACTGATCAAGGAATGCACTGCTGCCTTGGGGACTTCTCTAGGTACTCAGTCACAAAGAAAATAGTTGGATATAATCTGACTTCTCTAAGAGAAGGAAAAGCAAAAGTGCTACTTGTTACTTTAAGAAGCTGGTTCTAAAATATGAAAACCGGGAGCCTGCTACCATATTAGGGTAGCTGATGAAGAATCTTGAGCAACTTGCTACAGAACACTTTTACACAGCATGAGCTTCAAAGGTTGGGGAATAGAGGAAGAAGAGTCTGGATGAACAGAAATCTGAAGGCTCTCTCCCAGCCTTGAGTTACAAGTGCCACCCTGCTACATTTACACTGTACATCTGCTGCACTGAGCCTCTCCAGTTCCAGGGCTTCCCTACCTACCTGTCCTTGATGCACCTGTTGTTTGAACTTACTCAATGTATAATAGTTTAAAAAAATATTGTGTTTAAATGAATACTCATCTGTTATAATTAGGTAGACTATGCAGATTTCAGTCATTTTTTTTCTACCTAAATATGGCTGAAATGAATAAAACATGTGATAATTCAATGGGAAACTAGAAATGAGCGGGATGGTAAAATTTTACTAGGTTTCCTTAATCACCCAAAGTTCATCCTTTGCTCAGGAAAAGCAGTCAAAGGTACCCACATTCCACATCTGGTATTCTGAGAGACTGAAAATGAAGGAGATCAGAAAGTTCAGCAAAGAAACATAGTAGAACTAAAAAGGAAGTCACACAAAGGCAGAATTCAACTGACTAAAAGGAAGAACTTTCTAACAACCGAGCTGTCCAACAATGAAATGGCCGTCGAGAGAGAGAGAGAGAGAGAGAGAGAGAGAGAGAGAGAGAGAGAGAGAGAGAGAGAAAGAGAAAGCTCCCCAGGACTGGGGTTTTCCACTAAAGTTATATGAATTGCTGTCATAGATGTGGCACAGTAGGTAAGAGGTGAGACCAGATAAGGTCCCCAAGCACATGATGATGCTAAGTAAGTGCTCCTTACGTGTATCTTGCCCTTGACAAAGGTAGTGATGTCTTCTTCATTCTCAAAGATGGACAATGTCTGTAGCAAGTTATTTTCCAGCCACTCCCAATGTTTTGTGATCTCCTTACGGGAAGAACCTAGGTGGTTTGGGGAGGTAGAAAAAAGAAAAAAAACCCACATCAACACATCAATCTCTCAGGCTCATTTGAGGAAGAAAATTAGGAACCATTTCCCATCGTAAAGGTTAAGGCAGAAGTCTCTATACATACAAGTGATAAGAAGCCTTAAGAAATATCCACTAAACTAAGGACAGTTAAAAGATAAAATGTAATGCTTACAGGGTTGTGGAAAAATAAGAACAGTCTTACTCGGCTAGTGGAGCTGTAAAATGATATAATCTTTTTGGAAAACAAAATGGCATTATACAATAAGAGTTACCAGGTTCTCTAATCTAGTGATTCCACTATAAGGCCAAATCCTAAAGCTGCCATTGACAGGGGAAAAAAAGGCTCCTGTACAAAAATATCCATAGTATTAATCATAATAGCAAAAAAAAAATTCATATGTCTGATGATTGGGAAATGGCTGGACTAAAGTATGTAACAAATTCTATTCAAACAGAAGAACACTTATTAAGCACCCACCATGTACAAGATACCATGCTAGACCCTGGGGACAAAACCAAAATTGTTCCTGTCATTGAGGAATTTGTGTTCTGCTGGAAGATACAATATGACAAAAATAATAGTTGATGTTTTAATATACAAAACTGAGAAGGTGGACTGCAGCCAGTTTGTGAAGGGCCTTCAATGTCAGGCTAGAGTTTTTATTTTAACTGGACTCAATAGGGAGCCACTAAGGGTTTTTGAGCAGGGGAATGACAGAGTCAGACTTGAGCCTCAAGAAAATTATTTTGGCAGCTACATGTAGGATGGACTGGAGAAGGGAGAAAATGGAAAAGGGGAGACCAATGAGGAGATTACTGAGACTAGAGGTGATGACAGCTTGAACTAAGGGTATGGCCATGTGTGTAGAGAGAAGGGGATGAACTTGAGATATATTGTGAAAGATAAAAGGCAAATTTAGAGTCATATGAACAGAGATGATAACTGAGCTGAGAGGAATCACCAAGAAAGATAAGAAGGTGGTCCAGGACATAGCCTTGGGGAAGTACACATTTAGGGGATGGCAGCTGAACAATGAATTGCTAAAGATAACTGAAAAGGAGGTCAGATAGGTGGGAAGGGAATAAGGAGAGAGTAGACTCACGGAAGTCAAGAAGAAAAGTATTTAGAAGGAAAGAATGGTCAACAGTGTCAAAAGTTACAGATGTTGAGGACTGTGAGAATTCAGAAAAGTCTAAAAAGTCAGGTAAACCTTGGAAAGAACAATGTCAGTCAAGTGGTAGGCTTGAAAACCTGATGATGGGGTGGAGGGGGGGAGAATGAGTGGGTGGCAGTGAGAGAAGATAACTTTCTAATAGCTTGGCAGTGAAAAGGAAGAAAGAGAAGACAATCTGAGGGAACAGCAGGATCAAATGAAGCCTCCCCCCAACCTTTTTAAACAATGTAGGACATCTTAGTACAGGGGTGGGGAACCTGTGGCCTCCAGCCACATGTGGCCTTCTACGTCCTCGGGTGCAGCCTTTTGACTGAGTTCAAGTTATACAGAACAAATCCTTTTATTTTATTTATGAAGTGTGGATTCAGTCAAAGGGCCTCACTTGAGGACTTAGAGGGCCACACGTGGCCTTGAGGCCCCATGTTCCCCACTCCTGCCTTAGTATATCTGTAGACAACAGGGAAGGATCCAGGGAGAGACTGAAGAAGAGAAAAGGGGAACAATTAATGAGGGGAGCTCCCAAAAGAGGTGGAAGGCGATGAGACCAAGGGCACAAGTAGAGCAGTTAACCTGGAAAATTGAGAGTGGGAAAAAAGGAGGAGAGGATGAAGATGTAGAGGGCTTTTGATGTATAGAGTAATGGAGATGAGGGAGGTTATGAAGGAATGACTTAAATTTTCTCCATAAAGTGAAGTCATCTGTAGAAGGTAGGGGAAGGAAGTATCATATGGGACTTGAAAAGAGAGGAAAAAATTTGGAATAACTGCCACAAGGACAATAAAAGTCAATCAGGGAAGAACAGAAAGTTTGCCTTGTAGCTGTGAGAGCTCAGCTGAGACTGGATAACATGAATTTACAGTGGATATTATGAATTTATAAGGTGCTGTTTTCCAGCAGCCTTTAGCAGCAGGAAAGGTGGCATCCCAGGGTTGACAACTAGTTGGTATGAATGATAGTGATAAAAGTGTGCTAGAGATTCAAGGACAGTGAATGGTTCATGGGTTAGGTGGTCAACTTTAAGATCAAGATTTTGAAGAGAAAAAAGTGAGGTCAAAGTAGCAGGGATGACTTAGGACAATAGAGGATGAAATGACTACAAATCACACTGGAACTGGTCAGAATAGAGTAAAAGATGTCAACAGACATCTAGATTATACCTGAGTTACACTCTCCTAGAACTGCTACCTGAATTTTTGGTTTCTAGGTATTTCACCTGGAACTGCCTGCTCAATACCAGGCTGGGCCTGGTTTGGCCCAGCCCCTACCACTTGACTTCTCCTTTGGATCAGAGGGGTTTGATCCAACTCTGATCTGCCTTAACGTAGATGAGTTTGGCTGACACTACTTCCAGAATATTTAGTTTCTATTTCCACTCCCCAGTTTTCACCTCAGTTCTAAGGAACACTGTAAGTGTTAACAGACCAAGTCTTATTTTAACACCTCCCCTCTTGCCTTGCCTCAGGAGTTCTGCCCCATCCCTGATCCTCTGCCAGACCAAGCAAGTACCAGAGAGGCTTGGGTCAGTGTGGGAGGTGAGTGAGTGAGAGAGTGAGAGTGAGGAGGCGGGGAGGAGAGAAAGAGAGAGAGACAGATATATATATATATATATATGGAGAGAGAGAGAGAGAGAGAGAGAGAGAGAGAGAGAGAGAATGTGTGTGTGTGTGTGTGTGTGTGTGTTGGGAGGTTGGTTCTGTCACTGTGATTGGCAAAGATATGTCCCTGGCATATCAAGTCAGAACTCAGAGAGTCTTTCCCCAAAGGGACTCTTATACATGGTGGGTTCTAGAGGTCAATTAACACAGTGGACATTCTGGGTAAAGAGGCTTTTATGGACTGAATTGGAAAGCATACCACCACATTACATCTGTTTCTACAGGTAAAAAAAAAACTTCTTGAGTTACAAACACCCAACTGACAGACAGACTTCTGGGATACTGTGGACGCTTCTGATCCAAATGCCTGACTGTAGATGAGCTTGTTGACCATGCTTCCAGGATAAGGTTCCACTCTTCAGTTTTCACCCAAGTTCTAAGGAACGCTGTTTGAAGACCCCCTTTCTGGACCTTGGGGGAGGTCCTGCCCTAGTCTCTTTTTTGGACCCTTCCCTGCCAAAAGGGCCAGAGCCCTGATCTTACACCTTGGCTAACCCAGCCTTGAGCTTTGAAGCTTATTAGGCTGTTACTCAGTGAATGTATTAGTCCCTTTGGAGAAAGAAACCATGATACTTCACAGTTATACATGACTCTATCAGAGGTAAGCCCAGACATGCTACACCTAAACCACAGTTTCTCTACCTCATTTCCCATGAAAGGCTTAGGGTAAAAGTTAAATGTAAGGAACAGCAGTGAAGAAAGGAAGTGGTTAGAAGAGAACTCTAAAAATACTTCTCCTTCATGACAGACAGAAGGGGGTTATTGAACCTGATGGCTCTGGGTGCCTGCCTCTGCTGAGATAGGAAGATAGTCACATGTTCTGGGACACATTCTTGCTAGAAGAAGCTCAGAATGTCTGAAATTCTTGTTGAGAGTAGCCCTGGGTTCACCTTCCCTGATAACGCATGTCACTCTCCCTCCACTGTTTTGTCCCTGGACTCGAGAGACTTGGCATGTAAATGTTCAGGTCCCTCTCTGAGCTATGCCCAATGCAAGTTTTGACTGCAAGAAGAGAGGTACAAGAACCTACCACAGGCGACGGCCCAATAGATCTGAGAGTCCTGAGTCTGGTGAAGGATTCGATAAGGAGCAACTCTGGCACTGGAATCCAAGACGACATCCAGTGTTCCCACGAGAAGACCTGGGAAAAAAGGTGGAGAGAGATGTGACTGGGAATTCAATTGGCCTATGTCCCTGCTCCAGCCATACCCAATGAGGTTACAGATGGCTTGATTTCATGGGCTGAAAGAACAGGAAGGATCAAATGAGATAATGTGTTACTGCAGCACTTTGTGAACTACAAATTGCTGTACAAATATATGTTAATTACTACCTGTCCTTGGCCCAGGAAACTGGGACAAATAGCTGTCATTTTCTGTTTAAAAGTCTCAAAGGAGGGCCATTCTTTAGCTTCTTTCAGGATTCATTTCAGTGTAACTGAACCCCTGGAACCAGGAAAATCTTCCTTTTGTAGAAAATGATAAGGTGCTCCTGGACCCTTCCAACCTTTTCAGTCTTTTTACCTTTTACTCCCCTTCACACCCTCTATGATGCAGCTACACTGGCCTCCTTGCTCTTCCACTCACAACAGCCCAACTCCCGACTCTACCTCTTCTCCAGCTGTCTCCCAGGCTTGCAATGCCCTTACTCCTCACCTCTGCCTCCTGGCTTCCCTCAAGACTCAGCTGAAATCCCACTTTCTGCAGGAGGCCTTTCCTGCTTGCTCCTGCTACTAGTTCCTTCCCTCTGAGATTCTCTTCCATTTATACTATCAATATCTGGTATGTAGGTAGTTACTTGTATGTTGTCTCTCTAAACAGAATGTGAACTATCTGAGGGCAGGGACTGTGTTTTTGCCCTTTTTTTGGTATGTTCATTGTTCAGCACTGTGCCTGGCACACCATAAGTGCTTAATAAATGCTTGACTCGAGGACAGCTCAAATATCTGACACCCACTGTTTCTCATTCTGTACAACTCTCATTTATTTAAAGACACAAGGCACCTTCTAACCCTTTCTAAATGACTTCTATCCCTTAAAACTTTTCCCCAAGAACTTATATCTTTCTTAAAAATAAAAAATTCCCAAACCAACCAAATATTTTTATTGATGCTTTTTCCCCCTTTCTGACATCAAAATCGCTTTCCAATTATTCTGTGTTCCCTACACCCTCTTTACCCCTCCTATTACTATAGACCTTTCCCTTGTAATGAAGAACTACAGGTCAAACAAAACAAGCCAACATATTGGTGATATCTGATGATAAATGCCCCATTTCCCAGTTATAGTTCATTTTCTCTGCTGAGAAAAAGGAAGCATGGTTTCTTGTGAAAAAGCCAATTTCCTTTTTGTTATATATTTCTGTACTTATCTATTTAAAATTTGGTGACTTTATAATGGTAGAAGTAGCCAGTTTTTCCCTGACCATGCTTCTAACACAAGTTAATAGTGACAATTTATTATTCTAGCACCTACCTATGACCTAAGGAAACCTAATTTTCCACAGAAATTCATTTTCCAAATTACCAAATCTTATCCCTTTAATTGTCCAAACTTGCTTTACTTTAAACATCATGGAGAGAAATGTTCTGAAACACAGCAAATATATCCTTGCCTTCTTAAACAGAGCGCATTGAGTGCAACCTTAAAAAGTACATAATAATTTTATACTTTATGCATAATTTTGCATAGAAATTAGCCTTTTCTCAATGACTAAGGGTTATTATTACGAATGACAATGACTATGTCCTAACTGTAATGAAATCACTTCCCCAAGGACTACTGAAGTGTATGGAGCTCTTTCCTATGCCAAATGGCTTTGGACTGTGTTGAGTTGTCTTTTTCTGTCTCTTCTTGGCTATCAGCTATCTCTTCTCACTGTTCCATTTCACTATAGTCTTTGTTCTCCCACTAGCTACTATTCCCCCACCATCTAATCATTTTAAAGAGCCTATTGCATTGAGAGCACTTTGCTGGGTATGGGATACAGTTTGGATAAAATACGATCACTGCCTTGACAGAGCTTATAGTCCATTACAGGGTAAAAAGGCACATAACTTTACGTAATATGTAATATGATCTAAATTCATTAAAGAGTTGGAAAACAAAATACCATGGGGTGTTAAAAGGTCATTATGATCAAAGAAGGAAGACTTCTGGGAGGAGGTACCATTTGGATTGGGCTTTCAATAAAGGTCATGAAAGGAATATGACAATGACAGACAGCATGGAGTGTACCCAGGATAAAGATACTGGAGGAGGGAGGCCCAGATGGTTCATCTGAGGCACAAAATAGATGACGCTGATTTGAAGGTCTTTGCTTATTTCTGTTGGGGTAATAATCCCTATGTTTGAGAATTCTAGATGTCTGACCTCTGGAAAAGTAGAAGTGTTAAATGTACTGTGTTTCTCACTATATAACTACTTTATAGAGTCATAATTTCTTCTCTTTAGTCTTCATTTGTTATATCTATAATTGACTACTCTTCCCTTTTCCTGTAATACTGGCATGGAAGCATGCACTGCTTATACTGCCAGGTCCAATAATGAATCTGGTGAAGCAGTATCATTTGAATTTGAATGTTCAAACTTACAATTATATGTAAAATATGGTCACTGGTTCCAGCCCAGTGGAAATATACAATGAAAATTTGAATGTGACCATTTCATGGGATTTATTATTCGTAGAGATTGCGACCTAGCTGTATCTTACCTTAATTTCTAAAGGATACCAAAGCATTTTTGAAATACCTATCAGCATTCACTTCATTATTTAATTCTTTAACAAATCATTTCTTAGGCACTTGTGTATAAGGAAAGTTTAGATAATACATAGTTGTATGAGAAGGACAAATAACTAATAAAAATTGTATAAGAGAGATATAAGTAAAGAGCTATGTGAGGTTCAAGGTCATTGCTTTGGATGAGGATGAAAAGAGAAGAGTGCGGCACTTTCCCACTCTCCCTCCACCTCCAATATACCCCAAAGTACAGGAAATCTGTTCAACAAAACTCAATTCCTTTAGCCTGGAGCTGGAAATTCAAGGTCTCTAACATCAACCAAATGATTCTGTACCAAAAGTTCAGCAGGAGCTAAAGTCAAATCGGTAGAGAGAATTTCAGGGAGTAGCTGGTAATTAGCTGGTTTGAAATTTGCCCAGATTCTGGAGCTAACACTTCAATATTTCCAGGGACTAGCACCGAACTGTCACAAAGAAAGTTCAAGTACCTCCAGTGATTCTCATTACCAGGTTCAGATGTTCACAAGGGGGCAGACGTTACCAGAGGATACCCTTGACATCCGAGAGAAGCCACAGCTGACTGAGAGGAAGAGACAGAAAACTACAAAAAATTTCCACTGGGAATGTACCTGGGGCAATCAGATAGCCCAGTAACCTCCACTCCTCTGTGAGCCCAGGGGGCACCCAGCCTCTTCTTTTTGGGGTCGCAGCCCCCAAACTGGAAACAAAACAGGCCTGCTGCCTGGGGGGCTCTAGCTGTATCCCAGGACCAGGAGAGGAGAGGAAAGCCTGGGCCTCACTACAGACTCAATGCTATCAAAGACAGGGCTCCGAGTGAGGAGTCTGGAGGCCTGGGATCGGGGCTATCTCCTGCCGGGACTTGATCGCGATCGGCGGCAAGTGCCTTCCCCTCTCTGGAGCTCAGTTTCCCCATCAGTATAACCAGCAGGACGCACGGCACGCTCTCTATGTAGTCGCAGCTCTCGATCCTGGTGGGGCGGGGGGACCGAGGCTCCAGGGGGGCAGCCCCCTTCCCGAAGGATCAGGGGACCCCGCATCAGCCTCTCCCTCTCCGGCTGCCCAGCCGGGTGGCCAGCTGTCCGCGAGCCCCGCCCCCTCCCAGCTCCCCTTCAGGCCGCGCGTCCTCGCCCCGGTCCTCGCCCCTCCCCCCTCCCCGGCGGCCCCTCGGACCCCCGCCCTCCTCCGCCGCAGGGTCCCGGGCCCGGGGCTTCCCCTTCCGCGGCCCAGCTGCCCAGGCCCTCACCCGTGAGGCCGCCGCCCTTGCCGTGGCCGCGGCGCCGCTGCAGCAGGAAGAAGGGGTTGGCGCGCTCGGTCACCCACAGCGCATTCGCCACCAGCACCTCCTCCGGGCTCAGCCACATCCTGCCAGCCCGGAGTCCCCCGGGCTCCCCGAAGCAGCAGGAGCGCTCGGGCTCGGGCCGGGCCCAGCTCCCCGAGAAAGCGGAAGCGAGGCGGGCGGGAGCACAGGAAAGAGCGCGGCGGAGAGCGAGCGAGGGAGCGCCGCAGAGCGGAGCCGGGCGGGGAGGGCCTCGGGCCTCGGGGCCAGCCCCGCGCCCCCACAGCGCCCTCTAGCGGCCTCCCGAGGCGCCCCAGGCAGCTGGGCCGGGCCTCCCCGCGCCCCTGCCCCGCGGCTCCTGCCTCATCCCTTTTCCCAGCTCTACCCTCCGGCCCGCCCCTTGGCTCTCTTTCCCCCTCTCTCTTTCTCCCCTTTTCTTCCCCCTCCCTCTTCTTCCTCCATCCCCTCTTACCTCTTCTCTCTACTCTTCCGTGTCCCCCTCTTTCCTCTTTCCCCTCTTTCCCTTCTCTTCTTTCTTCTCTCCTTCCCCTCCCTCCTTATCCCTCCCCCTTTAATCTCTCCCTCTGCTTCTCTCCCTCCCTTTTCTCCCCTTGATCCCCTCTTCCCTCTTCTCCTTTCTCCTTCCTTTTCTCTCTCCTTTCCACATTCTACCTTTCCACAGCTTCTCCCCTTTCCCTCTTCTCTGCCTCCTTTTCTCCCCCCTCCCTTTCCTCCCTCTTCTCTCACCTTTCTCCACCAGGTCTGGGAACAGTGCATTGACAACTCTTGTTCTCAGATAGATGTCTCTGAGGGTGGTGAGATCTTGGGGCCATTCTCTGGGCCCTGAACTTTGCCTTCCTTAATGAAATCCCATTGGATTCAACAAACATTTATTAAGTACCTACTGTGTGCAGGGTGCCATGCACCGGGAGTGGAAAATAGCACTTCCCAAGAAACTGACAGCCTATTAGGGGCCTTTGTGTTGTATAGACAGATGTGTGTGTGTGATAGAGGAAAAGAGAGACCAGACAACATACACTAGGACAGCTAAAATGGGAGATCACTTTTAGCTGGAAAGAAATTAGGGAAGATTTCTTTGAAGAAATTGATCTGACCTGGGCCTTGAAGAAAGAGAATTTCAAATATACCTTGCATATAGTAGATGGTTAATGAATTGTTTGTCGAATTAAAGAGCTTGTAAGGAGAGGACCGCATTTTATAAGAATGCATAAAAGCAGCCTACCTTTCCAGGGTCACTATGTATCATTCCACTTCTTCCACTTGAGGTCTTCTCATTGTTCCTTGTTTACAATATTTCATCTGTCTCCACAAATTTGCATAAACTGGCTCCCAGGTTTGAAATAAGGGCCCTCCTCACCTCTCAGAATCCTTAGCTCCCTTCAGCGCTCTCAGCTTAAGTATTGTCAGCCCCTGGGAATCCATGGGCCCCTACTCAGTTCTGCCCAGCATTTTCTAACTGCCCCCAAAAAGAGGATAGGGGCCCTTGGAAAACTCAGACCAACTAGGTGATCATTAAAGAAAGTGAAGCATTTATTCAGGGTTGAGGAATTGCAATTCAGGACAAAGCCTTGCCATTTTCAGACAGGAATGCCCCTGGGGAGGAAGGAGAAAAAAGGGATTCTTTTTTTCCCCTTAATTTAAAAAAATTATTTATTTTTATATTAATTAATTAATTTAATTTTCAACATTCACTTTCATAAGCTTTTGAGTTCCAAATTTTCTCCCCATATCTCCCCTCCCCCCACCCTAAGATGGTGTGCAATTTGATATAGGCTCTCTATATACATTCATATTGAACATATTTCCACATTAGTCATGTTGTAAAGAAGAATTAGAACCAATGGGAGTGATGGGGATAGGGTCTGAACCCCTAAAAGGAAAAGACCATGTCTTTGGGATCTAGACCCTAAAAGGGAAAAACCCTGGACTTTCCCACCTGGCCAAATCTCTGGTGTTTGCCTGATGCTATAATCCTATCAACTGGCCTTTCACTGTGGCTATGCCCAATCTGTTCTCTCAATTCTGTTCAGTTATCTCTCAATTGCCCCTGGCCACTTCCCACCCTAAATCTTATCTAGACTCCATTCTCCCTTGGCCTTGGGGTCCAGGTCTCTGGCATTCTGTTCACCCCAGTTTACTGGCCACTACCATCCAGATCCTCCTTAGATCCCCTCCTCCAGTCACCCCAAACTACTTGGCCCTTCCTGGATCCCTCCCACAGTCATTCTGTATATAAGATTCATCTTGTCTCCATTAAGGTGCTCAGATTCTTAAAATCTAGCCAAATGCTCAGATTCCTCAAGAACCTAGCCAATAGCTCACAAATGCTCAGATTCCTTAAGAGTCTGGCCAATATGGTGGATCTTTAATAAACCTTGTCTTTGGCTGAAAGAAGGCTTGGGTCGAGTTCATTCCAGCAGGACTCATGGATCATGATTTTGGGGTCCCAGCACCCCTAAACTCCTAAAACTCAACAGGAAAAACCCTGAGAAAGAAGAAATAAACCAAAAAAAAGGAAAAAAGAGAGCACAAATAAAATGCTTTGATCTGTGTTCAGACACCATAGTTCTTTTTTTGGATGAGGTCAGCATTTTCCATCATGAGTCCTTTGGAGTTGTCTTGGATCCTTGCCATTGCTAAGAAGAGATGAGTCTGTCAAAGTTAGTCATCGCACAATGTGCACAATGTTCTCCTGGTTCAGCTCACTTCACTCAGCATCAGTTTATGTTGGTCTCTCCAGGTTTTTCTAGAGTTTGCCTGCTTGTCATTTCTTATAGCACAACAATATTTCATGACCATTCATATACCACAACTTGTTCAGTCATTCCGCAATTGATGGGCGTCCCTTCAATTTCCAATTCTTTGCCACCACAGAAAGAGCTGCTATGAAAAAAGGGATTCTCATAAGGTGTAGTTGTGGGAAACAGAAGGAGGGCATATAGTTGGGATACATAGAACAGCCAAACTTCAGAGAGTGTTGAGAAAAGAGAGGAAAAAAAAAAAGAAAAAACAAGTCTGCAGAAGTGTCCTTGTGATTATCTCTATCTAGGAGTAGGGGTGGTTAGAAACTGCTGGGGCATAGGGGGTAAAGAGATCTTCTTGGGGGCAGTTAGAAACTGCTGGTCAGAACAGGGTAGGGGTCCAGACATTCCCTCAGGTTAATGGTATCATCTCCTACAATAGGCATTTCCTGCTTCTCCCAGCTGCTGGTGGTCTCTGAAATTTCTTTGTATATACTTATATGTACATGTTTTCCCCAATAGATTGTAAGCTCCTTGAGGGCAGGAATTGTTTTAATTTTATTTTTGTATCTCTATTGTCTACCTAGCACATAGAAGGTGATGTTTGATGATTTATCAGCAGATGATGTATATTTACATCAATCATGAGGTAACTCTGAATGCTAGGATTCCTTTCCAATGGTCATGCTTTGCCTTGCTCAGGGTGGAAGTCAGAGCTGCCTCACCCTGTCTCTCCTGAAGCTTTGAAGTAAATAATTTTTAATACTCTGTGGGTAGGGGTGGGGTAAAGATAGAATGAGATGCAGAACAGTAAACGAGGGTGAGTATACTTGGTGCCTTTACCTCCTACGAAGGATTATATTTTAAAATCTGTTTCAACCCTTAGTACTGTTTGGATAGCTTAACTTCTTCCATATCAATATTGAATGAAGTCCCTTAATGACCGTCCCTCAAATTGGTAGCGTGATCATGAGAAACTAACTGATCCCTGTTCCTTAATATATCCCAGATCTCCTCTGCTAGGTTTTGGTCCATAAACCCTGTCATAACTCAGCCTAGGGACCACAAAGTGATTAGTTGAAGCTTTGAGAGTGAAAGAAATTGTCAGAGGGAAGATCTCAGAGAGAGAAGAGGACTAGAAAACAGAGCCTTGGGGACATCCACATTAGGGACCAGGAGGAAGATGCACCAGGGAAGGAGACTGAGAAAATGTTTGACAGGCAGCCTCTGGTGAGTAGTATCAGAGAAAGGCCATTTGTGAAAAATTTCCCTAAATTTGTCCAAAATATTAGGAAATGTTGATGGGGGAACCGGGGTAATGTGGGTTCCCTAAACTATGAGGTTGATACAATCCATTCCCTACCTCAGCAGGTGCTCTTACCTTTCAGATCCAGCATGTTACTTTAGTAAATTCAGTCTTAAATTCATAGGCAAGCAAATAGTTTCATTAGATAGATTAGTGAAAGCATGGTAATGTCAAGGAACTTTAGAAACATATGTTATGGAGTGGAACATTTCTAATAACTCTCCAGCTTCAACACTGCCTTCAAGTTGGAGTTTACTTTTGATCTCTTCAGTTGGCCAAGTTGCAAGGGGGAGAAATAACGTTCACTTACTTAATATTCCCTTACTGAAGACATACTTTCTGAATTCGGACACTTTGGATGTGGAGAGTGGTATTAGCAGTTCCTTCCTGTATTTTAGAGAAACAGTTGACTAGCTGTGCAGGGGATGATCACAGATACTCTAGCAATGAGTAATTACTGGGTGGGTGCGGGCTTTCTCCACTAGCGTCATAGTATCAAAGAGAAACAACGTGGTTTAGTCAGTAGAGTGCTGGACCTGGAATCAGAAAGACCTGAGTTTGAATCCAGCCTGAGACATTTACTAGTTGTGTGATACCCTCTCTGGGCCTCGTGTGTTTAGAGATGGAAAGGGCCTCAGAAGTCATTTAGTCAAACTCATCTTTTTTTTTTTTAAAGATCAGATCTGCCCATCTTGCAAATATTTTTTTGCATACTTTTTTCCCCCTATTTTTTTAGGTAAGGCAATTGGGGTTAAATGACTTGCCCAGAGTCACACAGCTAGTGAGTATTATGTGTCTGAGGTCAGATTTGAACTCAGGTCCTCCTGACTCCAGGGTCAGCACTCTATCCACTGTACCACCTAGCTGCCCCTCCATCTTGCCTCTCTTGGAAGTGCATCAGTCCTCAGCCAAATCCCCAAACTGACTGACCCAAGAGCTCTGTTTTAGTTCCAGGCTGGTTTACCCCTGTGTAAGCAGCCTGTTGGACCCCTGCTCCTGGGGCTTATCATATGAGAACCAGACTTAGCGTGGACTAGATGCCCTATCAGCTTTGCTCTGTCGCAGCTCAGAATTCCCGGACTCAAGAATTCCACTGGCCTTAGCAGCCCCAGTAGCAGGGATTATAGGCATGTATTACCATGCCTGGCCCACCTCATCTTTC